TTTGAATCTGCCACTGTGCTTGCATTGTGAATCTTGTGAATAACAACATGCATACAACATGCTCTTCCTGTCTCTTCATTCACCATACCCTGCAGGTACCTCTTAAGTTCAAATGATTTTATTTATTATTTATTTATTTCTTGTTTAACCTGGGTTAACAATTCAGTTGAAAACCGGCTGTTATCCTTATGTGCCCAGGATACGATACACAAAACAATAATCCTAATTTACTTACTTTAATAATAATAAAAATATAATTCATAAGAACAACATTAATGACAGTAATAATAATAATAGTGATAATAACAACAACAGCAAAAATTATTATCATACTATCAGATTAATAGAATTAAGTTAAGCCAGCAATAAAATGCTAAGTAAATTGTTTTAATTGTCATCTGATACTATACGATAATTCATAAGAACAACATTAATAATAATAATAGTGATGATAATAACATTAATAAGATTAAATAAGCCTATGTTAAATAAATATTAACTGTCATCTAATTTTTAATTTACTAACCACTTTTTATTGTATAAAATGTTTGTTTATTAGTGAAAAGGAACAAATAATTTAATAAAATAAAGGAAAAAGCAAGATTGATTTAGATTCATCTCCTCCCTTGGCAGCGTTCACAATTTGGTTCCTCTTAATTTGAACACATTAAGCGATAGAGCCCTGGATAACATAACAAAGTTAGATTCATCTCCTCCCTTGGCAGCGTTCCACAATTTGGTTCCTCTTAATTTGAACACATTAAGCGATAGAGCCCTGGATAACATAACAAAGTTAAACCTCACAAAGTGAGGTTTTGGACGATTAGCGGCATGACTGATGTATGTGTATAATGTGTTTTACATGGACGGTTTCAAGGAGACTTTCCCAATTATTGAAGTTGTCACCGCCCAAACAGTGCGCTGTTCAATTAGCCAACTGGCTAATGGACACCGGTGTAACTGGAGCAGTGCCTTGTCTTTTATTTTTAGTTTGCGTCACGGGTTAATACCCCTTTTGGGTATGTTAGTTAAAAAAGTAATTGGATGGATACCATAGGTGTCTATCATGTACTGCTTATACAAAAGCAAAGATCCCATGTGACAAAAGTGAATATCCAATAAATAGGCCTATCCATCTAAATAGGCCTATCTATCTAAATGGGCCTATAAATGTTTACCAATGGAGGAACTCATTACATATTTTCAACGATAGCTTTTAGACACGACAATCCCTTTTCTTATAATAATTTAGCGCAACACCACTTCAATTTTACGAATATCCTCTGTCCCAGTATTTTACGTAAAACCGATGTTTAACACAATTACCGTATGCGTACTGTTCATTGGTGACATCTTTGGGATTATTAGTAGGAAAGAAATAATACACATCTATTCTTGTTATTAAAAACCTCCAAATTCAAGAAGGTTTTAGTCGGCTTGTATGTTGCGGAAGAGAATACAAAAACCAATTCAAATAATTTACATTTAAATATATTTATAAACAGAGTATACAGCAACTTTACCGGAGCGTTGAAGCAGGCGAAATCAGACAGCTGATCGGAATAAGGGGCAGAGAGTTCCAGAGGAAAGAGAAAAAAAAAATAGGCTTAACTAGCTTAGAAATGTTACCATAACTGTAGTATAGAGACTACAGAAGTGGTGTCTGTGTAAAGATCTGTCAGTATTTTTACGAGAATAACATATCATGTACCCGTACTGTACTCTTGATTTGTTGTAAATTTGTTAACTTATTATTTCTGTTTTGCTTATATTTTACTTATTTTATGTGTGAGACGAGTGTGTCTCTGAAAGTTTAACATCTATATACAGACCTATACATTACATGATATATCTTTGATGATTTTATATATATACATATATATATATATGTATATACTGAGTACGAATGCACAAAGTAGAAACGTATACGATGACATAATAGACATAAATATGTATAAATGATATGTATATTTATACGATGCATAGGCAAGGCATAGATCATGAATCTCAGCTATTAAATCCCAAAGCATTTAATAGCTTTAGAAAGCATTGAAATAGCATCGATATAACTGGTAGAAAAACATTGATAATAATCAGTATCAGGGGCGGATTTAGGGGGGGGCCGGCCCGGCCCCGGCCCCCCCTTTTGGGAGGTAAAAAAAAGAAAAAAAGAAGAAAAAAAGAGAGAAAAAGAAAAAAATGATAGCACAGAATGCCTCAAATGTTATGTTCGGGCGTCTAGAACACAAAAATTTCGCGGGGGCATGCCCCGGACCCCCTACGACAGTGTTGTCTCAATCGGCCCAACTTTCGGCCCCCCCTTCCGGCCCCCCCCTTTTGGACATTTCTGGATCCGCCCCTGAGTATATTGGTGTTAATGTGAATCATGTTCAGTTAAATAACCTTAATAAAAGCAGGGTAACAGGATGTTTAAATAATAAATGTAATATTAACGAAGACAATGGTCCTATCTCAACTGGCTCAAATTTGTGCACTGAAACTGAAAAAGCGAATAGGAAACAAAATAAAATCAATATTTTCTATAGTAATGTCCGTAGCATGAAGAACAAAATGTGTGATATTAATGCCAAGTTCTCCACTTTAAAATATGACATAATTTCATTCACTGAAACTTGGCTTGATAGCTCAATCTTTGATAGCCAACTGTTTGACCACTTTTAGAAAAGATCGTAATGCACATGGTGGAGGTGTTTTAGTTGCTATAAAATCTTGCTTATGTCCTTCTCCTTGTCTTGATCTTAATGTTACTAAAATTGAAATTCTTTGGATTGTATGTTATGCAAATATTGGTACCTCTTCTAATATACAGTACCTTAATGATCTCTCTGAAAACCTTGAGAAACTACGAAGTAAAATTACCAATTACAAAATGGTAATATTAATGGGGGATTTTAACATCCACATTGACTGGAATAATATTGATGAAAAATGTAATCTATCAAGCCAAGCAAGAAAACTAATTGATGTAACTCAATCAGTAGGCCTTATTCAGGGTATGAATCAGAGCATTTTTTAGATTTAGTGTTCACTTCAAATCCCCTTTTAGTAGATAAATGTAAAACTGCACTCAATTTTGATTCTTGTGATTATAAAGCTGTGGAAATTACATTAGGGTTATCAATCAAGCGTTCAAAAGAAATTAACAAAATTGTATATGATCTTAAAAGGGCTGATTTTCATAAAATGAAAAATCTGTTGAGGGATGTTGATTGGGAATCATGCTTTGATTCAGATGATGTTAGTAATGTATGGGGGAAAATTCATGATAAAATTAATGCTGCCATTGTGGATTGTGTTCCCATTAAGAAAAGAAAAAAGGAAAGTTCTTTTCCTTGGATAACAAGAGAAATCAAAAAACTGTGTACTAAAAAAAGAAAACTTTACAAAAAATATACCCGGTTAAAAACTGAGAAGTCAAAAGAAGAATTTAAAAAGTGCAGTCAACACCTCAAGAAAGAAATTTATTGCAGTCACAAAAATTATATTTTGAACATATCAAACAACAAGTCTAATAATGTTAAAAGATTCTGGGCTTATATCAGGTCAATTAGACAAGAGTCCGAAATTATTTGTTTGAAGATTGGTGATCAATCAGTTATTTCTGCTAAACAAATAGCAGATTTATTTAATGAAAGATTTGCTTCAAATTTTACTGCCAACCAGAGTGATGATAATCTACAGAATTTGTCTAATATTGCTCTTGAAATTCAAAATGAAATTGAATTTCAACCTTTTGAAATAGATGAAGTTTATTATGCTTTATCTAAGCTGGATGGTTCTAAGTCACCTGGGCCAGATTGTATTCTTCCATTGTTCTTAAAACAATGTAAGGAAGAACTTGCTAATGTTTTCTGTTATTTCTTTCATTTTTCTATAAACAAAGGCATTGTCCCTAAACAGTGGAAGGAGGCCAGTCCACAAAAAACATGGGAAACCAAAAAATGATTTAAAAAGTTAAGACCTGTGTCCCTAACACCAATAATAAGTAAAGTTATAGAAAAACTGATGTTATAAGATTAATGAATTCTTGGAAGTAAATAACATTATCTCTGATAACCAATTTGGTTTTAGGCAAATGTATAATACAGAATATCTCTTAACAAAGGCTTTTCACATCTGGTCTAAAAGTATTGATAATGGTTGTAAAAATATTGATGTTATATTTTTAGATTTTTCATCAGCCTTTGACAAAGTTCCTCATAGCAGATTAATTAAAAAACTTAGCATGTATGGGATTACAGGTATTATCAATAGCTGGATAAAAAATTTCTTAACTAACAGAAGGCAAAGAGTTATTTATAGAGGAGAGAAGTCAGAGTGGATTAATGTAACATCTGGGGTCCCTCAAGGTTCTGTGTTGGGACCGCTTCTCTTCCTAATTTATGTTAGTGACATTGTAAATGATATCTCATCATCAATATTTCAGTTTGCAGATGACCATACTCTCTCCCACCAAATCAATAATTTTAGGGACTGTATTGCTCTTCAGCAAGATCTTGACAAGATATACAATTGGTCAGTTGTCAGTAAATTACCTCTAAATGTATCTAAATGTGCTACAATGCATATAAGTAAAAGTAAGAGCCCAATTAAATGGGATTATAAAATAGATAATATTTACTTTTAGAAAAAGTAAATGAATTTAAATTACTTGGTGTTTTTATAAATAATAAACTTTCATGCTATACACAAGTAAATTATATTTGTTCTAAATCGTCACAATTACTAGGTTTTATTAATAAGTGTAGTAAAAATATGTCATGGGCTGTAATGTTAAATCTATATAAAGCATTGATTCTTCCAATTATTACTTATTGTTGTGCAATGTGGGCACCAGGTGACAAAACTACGTGTCCTTTCCCAGGCTCTGGGAAGAACTACCTCCTCTACTTCAAAACTCTGTTAATGTTTCCTGTTTTAAGAATAATTTAATTTAAATTAGCATCGAAAGGTCCACTGATTAATCTCAGATAAGAAAGTATAATACATACTCCAAGTATTGAAATACATGCCATCGTGTTGGGATTCAATATTTCGACATTAATTATGTCATCATCAGGAATGAAAAATTATCCATGTTAGCAAGCTTATATGCACTAGTACCAAAAGTGTTTAACCAATCAAAACATTACCTCTAGTAGGTGACATAGCAGTGATTTAAACAAAAGATCAAAGCATTCTTACTCTAATGATCAAAGATACCTACAAAAACAAAGAAAGCTCTTTTGAAGCTCTAAGCCCATTGTTAAGCAAAGGGTTTAGTCTAGGTATAGTGAACGCTTCTTTAAACAATATGAGAGACCAGTTTCGGGAGCTGTCAATAATGCTAGTACAGGTACTAATTAATTAAGCATTTTATTTCATCTTATGTTTCTGATTAGTTCTGATTGTTTTGTGTATTTCATTTTATATGAAGGATAGGGAGCAAATATTGTTCGGGCTTTCGCCCATTCCCTATCCGGGCAATGCATGATGTTTTTCTCCTCTATGCTTTCTGCCAAATAAATATTATTATTATAAAATAGCTTTATGAAACATATTGAAATAGCATATATATAACATGATAAATAACATAAAATATATATAAGTGTTTATAATTTGTACGTAATAATATATAATATTAAAAGAGAAATACAGATACCGTTATTTTTAAATAATTGTATTATTATTATTATTATTGTTATTATTATTATTATTATTATTATTATTATTAATATTAGTATTATTATTATTATTATTATTATTATTATTATTATTTTCATATTATTATTATTTTAATAATAAAAACCATATGCTTCATAAAGCTACTTATGCTACCAGCTATATCTATTATATTTCAGTATGCTTCATAAATTGGATTATAATAAGTATTATTTTCATATTATTATTATTATTAATATTATTATTTATAATTATTTTAATAATAAAACTTTATGCTTCATAAAGCTATTTATGCTACCAGCTATATTTATGCTATTTCAATATGCTTCATAAATTGGATATATCCTGTATACAAGTATACTTTCTGACAAAAAAAATTTCTCTTGAGAATGAACAAGGTTATAGTTACCAAGGACATTGCAACATTTGGTGTGCAATTCAAATTAAATAGATAGAAGCTTTTTAAATACAACGTATAAGAAATTTCATTATATAATTCTACGTAATAATATATAATAAATAGAAATACAAATACTGTAATTTTTAAATAATTGTATTATTAAACACATGTGGGGGCACAATGGCATCTACATAATTTATAAATAATGTCATTAAAAATGTGTTCAATGGGAGCATAATAATAATAACAATAATTAAATTCAAATAAATAATAATAAGAAATAATGATAAAAATATGAAAATAATATAAGCATCATTTAAATTTATTCATAAATAGCCTTAGAAAGCATTGAAATAATAATAGTAATAAGTATAATAATAATAATTAGTATTATTAATAAAATAATTATGAATAATAATAATAATATTATAAAAATAATAATTATTAATTATTATAATACTTATTATTGGGTTATTGTGGCTCAGATCAGCCACAAATTCAAATTTTCAAATAGTATTGTCAATATTATTATTGTTATTATGTTTAATAATAATAACTATTATTTATTTATTTATATATTTATTTATTCAACTTTCTTTATACTGGATGCCACGCTCAATGCAAAGGCATTGGTTTTCGTTGTGGTCCAGTTACAAACATAAAAATACAAAAGATGTTCGAAAATTCTATGTGTATGTCTATAATGATAATAATAAACATAAAAATACAAAAGAGATTAGAAAATTCTATGATAGAAGCTTTTTAATTACGATACAAAATATAGTGATTTTTAACTACTTGACTGTGATTTTTTTTTTGGGGGGGGGAA